AAAAAAAAAAAAAAAGAATTTAGCTTTGTTCTTAAAAGGGGGGGTGGGGGGGAGGAAGCCTATTCTTTAGTCTTTATCAACTATCCAAAATGTTTTTGAACTTTTTGATAATATTAAAAGTAATACTAATATTATAGCATACCTAAGAGGCTCCTATGAAAAGATCCTCAAAGAAGTTCCAGATTTGGGGCACCTGGGTGGCTCAGTTGGTTAAGCGACTGCCTTCGGCTCAGGTCATGATCCTGGAGTCCCGGGATCGAGTCCCGCATCGGGCTCCCTGCTCAGCAGGGAGTCTGCTTCTCCCTCTGACCCTCCCCCCTCTCATACTCTTTCTCTCTGTCTCATTCTTTATCTCAAATAAATAAATAAAATCTTAAAAAAAAAAAAAAAAAAAGAAGTTCCAGATTTGGGGTTAAGGAATTAGGAACACATCTCTATGATCAAATATCGAAAGGACTTTTTCTTGTGTTTCCCCTCTCTGCTTTCCTTCCTTCTTTCTTTCTTTTTAAGGTAATAATCCTGAATGATCTCTGGGGTTCTCCCCCAAAAGATCCCAAACTAACAGCCCATCTGTCTTGATAGTATCTGCCTTGGAAGCCCCAAGACTGATGAAATAAAACAAAACCGTCCAAGTCTCAGTCCCTCTTATTATATATTGTAATCAGTCTCACTGAAAAACTGTGTGCAAATTACTATGCAAGCTTCAGAAATTTAAGAGATGGTAGTGCCTACATGAGGACAGCATTAATGAAGACCCCCCCACACTACTGCACCATTCTGATTCACACACTGACCTCATACTTCTGTTAAAAATGCTCTATAAGGGACGCTTGGGTGGCTCAGTCGGTTAAATGTCTGTCTTCGGCTCAGGTCATGATCCTAGGGTCCTGGGATTGAGTCCCGAATTGGTCTCCTTGCTCAGCAGGAAGCCTGCTGCTCCCCCTGCTTGTGCTTTCTCTCTCTCTCTAATAAATAAATAAAATCTTAAAAAAAAAATGCTCTATAATTATGGCAACAGAAATGATACGTGATTAGACATTCACTTATACCAACTGTTTTTAATCACAGTTGAGCAGTATAAAACAAAACTAAAACTAACCATTTGTGCAAGGAATTAAATGTTATCAACACAAACATTTGTGTCCTTTCTTCCCCCATAGCTTAGTCCTACAGATCAATAACACACTCCTTGGCCCTGCTCCAGATGACAGCAAACTACAAACCCATGTGAAATCTAGTTAAAAGAAATTTCCAATATAAATGTAAACTTGCTTTTACCTTATATAATCGATAATCTTAATATGCCCTCTTGATTCCTACCTCTGTACTTCTGATTAGTGATGCCCATGATTAACAGAGATGTGTTATGATTTACAAGATAGTTGCAAGCAGAATTTTTCCAACATTTTGAAATAGCTTTGGCTTTAATGCTGAAGGACTTTTACTAAATTGAATTTTAAAAACAAAAATTTATATTTATTACAAGTGAAATTTAGATGGTTGAAATAATGCTGATAATAAATCAAAGATAAATTACTGTAAATAAAACATGACTTGTCTCCACACCTCTTTGTGATTCATTTTTTCCAACTGATGACTTACTAAAAAAAATGTTAACTTGTAAAATAAATAACAAAGTAATCAGAAAGCAACTACCCTTTGTTTTTTGTAGCAAAAATAAAGGGTAAAAGCACACAGAAGTATATGAATAGGGGTAACACTTTCAGGTTAACAAACAGTTTGCAGATGTCATTCATTTAATTGCCTGTTGATTTATACAAAATATAGTGGTATGGTTAGTTTCTGTTTAGTTATTTGTAAACTATTTCAAAAATAGCATAAGAAGGTAGCTCTGGTTGGTTAGAGCCTGAGTGGTGATACTGAAACTTATATTAGTAAGTCATAAAAAGTCTCCATGTTTCCAGTTCTTCATCTCTGAACAGGTATGACAAGGTAGGCAAAGAAGTAAATGAGATAGTATTAGTAAACTCTAAGTCTTTTAAGAATACAAGAGTTATTCTTGTGTTTCTAGTTACCATTTTTGAAGAATGACCAAAACAGTTTTTGGTAGGAGCTTAAGGATAAAAAGAAGTTAGTAAATGAATAGGAAAAAAAAAATTCTTACTTTATTACTTTTATTTCCATTTTTAAAGCCTCTCCATCTTTCAAAATAAATCCCATTCTCCTAATACCATGTTTCCATGGGCATTTTTAACAAATTTCTGCATTTAATTTCTTACCTGAGAATGTATATTTTCTAAATATACTCCATACACTAATCTAAACATGAGAAAGGAGGCTTTCTCATATACTATTAGGGAGAGTAAAAACTGGCACAAAAATTTTTTTTGGTAGGAAATCTGGTAATATCTATCCATATTTAAATGCACATACACCAATTCATTTTTAAGAAATTAAAGATACACTTCTAAAGCACACAGAGAAGGCACATATGAAGATGTTAAGTAAAACTGTGTTTACAATAACATAAAATGGTAAACAATATAAATTCCCATTATTAGGGTATTGGTTAAATAAAGTTTGGTACAACCATATAATGAAATGCTAAGTAGCCATTAAAAGGAATTAGATAGGTTTCCATATACTAACATGGAAAGTTGCCTAGGAAATATTAAGTGAAAAAAAGAAATTGCAGAACAAAAATCATCTATTTTGTTTTCAGCCTATATATGAGAAAAAAATCTGGAAGATTCTATGAGAAACCATTGTACTTCTGTGGACTAAAACTAAAGCAATGTCTTTCTTTTTAAAGATTTATTTATTTATTTTTGAGAGAGAGAGGGAAAGAGAGAGAAAGTGTTCACACACAGGTGCACACGCATGGGGGGAGGGGCAGAGAGAGAGAGGGAGAGACTCTCAGACTCCCTGCTGCGCACTGATCGGGACTGGGGCTTGGTCCTAGGACCCATGAGATAATGACCTGAGCCAAAATTGTGAGCCAGATCCTTAACTGACTGAGCCACGCCGGCACCCCTAAAGCAATGTTTTCAACCTCAGCACCAAAGAGATTGGACCAGATAATTCTTTGTGTGTAGGCTGTCCTGTACATTGTAAGATGTTTAGCAGTAGATGCCAGTAGCACTCCCTGACCAGGTTGTTAGAATCAAAAACTTCTCCATACACTGCCAAATGTCCCCTGGGAGAGAAACTCATCCCTAGTTGAGAACCACTGAACTAGAGAATAAAGGAGTCAAGGTGGGGAAAGGAACTTTTACTTATCACCTTCTACCTTATTTGTAATTTTTAACCATGAAAATATATAGCACTTGCAATTAAATAAAACAAAACTCTAGGTAAGAAGCAATAAGATCATTAAGGTGTTTGAAAGGAAATGTGCATTTCAATGGAATAGGCAGAAAAATATATGGATTCTGCCACTTTGTTTCCATGGCTAACTCTTCCCACGATGCCCACAATCCCGGCTTCATCATTTTCTACCCCCTTGCCCATAAATCTTGGGGGCTGTAGCTCCTTATTACCAGCATTGTTTAGACTAGGTCCCTCCTTCCTTCTTGTTTTGTATATTCAGATAAATATAAATAAACAAACAAAAAATGGTCCCAGAATATGGAAATTTCTAATTTTGCCCAAGAAACATGGAGAAATACTATTATCATTTATTTAAAACTGAAATGGATTTAGCACTTGGGAAAGTATAATATCTGCTAATAAACTCTACTAGACCAAAAACAAATGTGGTTCACAGAGAAGATCCAGAATTTGTAGAAGTATCTTCTAATGATGTTGGTTATTCATTTACTTATCTATCTATCCATCTACCCCAAAATTTGAGATCTTTAAAATTCTTGCTTTTATATAGCTCACACTGGGGGATTAAGGGATGATTATCTGATCAAGAACTCTGGCTAAACATTTATTTTTTATTTTATTTTATTTTATTTATTTATTTTTTTGGCTAAATCTTTAGAACTTAAACTGATGGGGAGCAGGCGAATATTAAAAACGACACAATATCTAATGAGGAGCGAAAACCTACAGATTAATCAGTATGAATGCACAGCCCAACATAAAGCAAATTAAGTAAACTAGTAATAATTAAAATTAGTAATGGATAAATTCCCCAAATTTGAAAAATTTGTCAAGCTTACTACCTTTGATAACCAGATACTACTTTTTTGTAAAGTGGTATTAGGAAGAGGGAAGCAGTCTCTTCATTAACTTTAGACGTGGTTTCAAAAAAATCCTATTTCCACACATAACTTTTACACAGCTTTACAGTGAAAGTGACTAACTACACTGAGTGGTAGTATCTAACTTCTTAAGAACATGTACTTCAAAGATAAAACTTACGTGAAAGGGGCCTTAAAACCATGAATATCATAACCACTATTCTTATCCCTTATTACTTGGGTCTGAGTATATCTGCACATTTGCATAATTAAATGGATCTAAAAACATTAAGTTTTATATGGGTGATTGGTGTTATAAATAGAACAATCTTATTTTTCTCTCAGAATACATTGTTTCAGCTGGAAGTATTTCAGGCAGTTGAGGCTACAACTCTGCAGCAAAATAATTTAAAGAAACTTACTTTTTTAAAAATGGTAGTGTGGTCAAAATCTCCTTAAGGGCACAAAATGCATATGTTTCAGTAAAAGCCACCACAGATTTGAGCTCATGGGCTTGCTTTAGAATATCTGAAACATTCCTCCGGATAATCATACTCTTTTAGGAGAGGTAGGAAGGGAAGGCGGGGTGAAGAGGCATTGTCCTGGGACTGCACCAGAGGTGCTCTGCATTTAGTTTTATGTGTTTGCACACGAGCTTTCTTTTTAAAGAACTACTGTTGGAAAGAATAGTTTGAGAAGTACTGATTTATGCCATTGTAGCAGTAAAACCAACTCCTCTCTCTTCATTTGGATTTCATGAGTACGTCAAAAGGAAAACTTTAATATAGAATCAACGTAGGTGATGACATAAAATAAATCAATGAATTAGTATATTATTGGAAAACATACCTGATTCTGGCCAGAACAGCTTGTAGAAAGCTCAGTACTGTCCTAAGTTCAGATTCTTGACAAGCTCGCAGAAGCATACTAAATCCATCATTAAGCAGTTTTTCATGTGAAGGATACAGGCAATGGCTAGTCTCAAACACTTCTTGAACACCATCAATATAGATGGAAAGAAGTGTCCAGAGAGTCTGTCTTTGTCCCATTTCATCATTCTTGGATACCAAGAATTCCTTCGCTTTCTCTCGGAAAGCACCTGAACATTTCTCAGCCAGAACACCAATGTCCAGATTTTTCTGGGTATACATCAAGAGGAAGGCCACTTGACCCTTCCAAATGATGGAAGATGTTACCAAGGAAGCCTTGAGGAAATTTAGGAGGTCTAAAACATGACTTGCTACATCTTCCACCTCTGCGACAGCTGCTAACAGTAGAAAAAGGTTGAAGAAGTTCTGAAGACCAACTTCTGTGAGTTCTTCCATTCTTTTTTGATGGAATTTAGAATATATCCTGCAAAACATAAAAAAATTACTTGTATAAAATTTTCATTCACAAATATCAATCTTTTAGAATAACATTTCACTCAATACTCATGACAGTTTCATTACTTTAAGTTTAGCTATTTTTTCTTATGATGCGGCCATGTCACTTTTTCTACTTTGAAAACAGACTCACGGAATGCCCATACCTTCAAATTTCTCAGTGATGCAGCAACCACCTATGATTAAATAAAAGGACTGAGTGGTCTTCCCCAAAGGACAGCAGAAGTGTTCTTTTCATACATTACGTGGCTTATCCTATTATTTTAGAACTCTTAATCACCTTTCTTTTTTAATTTTTATTGACAAATAAAGAATATATACTCCCTTCAGTACAATTTGATGTGCTTTAAAGAAATCTTAACAGGACAATTTTATACAATTTTCCTTAAACTCTTTCTTCCTCTACCCCTCACAAAGATCTGCTCTTGCTATAATTATACCTAAGACAATTCAAAATGCTGGAAAAAATTATTTTTACCTACTCATAAAGAAAAACGGTTAGTGTTTAAATGTCCAAGACTAACCATTTAAAAGTCTCTTGTGTTAATATAATTTAACAGTTGACGTACTTTTCTCTCACCAATTAAGGAATCAGAATTGGAATAAATAGAATTGTTACTGAATACATTCCAGTGATTTGTTTTAGATAAAGTTCTGAGTATCAGGTCTTCCACATAATGATTTAAGATTCAAAAACAAACTGGCAAACGGGACCAAAGAAAAAACTGTTTGAGCTGCATAATTTTTGGAGGTTTAACAAAGAAGCTACCATTAAAAAAAAGTATACTCTAAAAACAGTCCTACTGTTATCACTATAACCTTGCAAGCAGTATATGGGAATCAAATAGGAACTTCATTTAGTGATTCCTGAGAAGTCCCTACCTAGAATATGAAGGTATTCTTACTCTGATGCAAGAGCTCCCATCACATAAGCAAGTGGTAGAAAGAGGGCTAGAAAAGGGCTAATGAAGAAGAACAAGGGAAGACAAAATTCATACCCACATAACAAGCAAAACTCTGGGAAAAAAAAAAAAAAAAGAACAGATGAATATGACCAAAAGTTTATTTTACTACGCCAGAAATGAAAACTGGGCATACTCCCCAAATGAGAACAATCAAGTTATTTCGTCCTATTATCCTCTGGTTAGTTTTCATTCAAGGGAGCAGGGACTATGGGACTGCTAGACTCAAAAACACCAAGTTTTATAGGTTGACTCCATTACCTGCCAATGTATGATTTGGAGATGTTTTCTATTTCTATAACTTTGAATACACTTTATGCATTGAATTTATATAATAACATTACAATTAATTTTGGCAAGAAAAACATTCTCTAATAGCCCTGACTTTAATATATGGAATTTCAATCTTCAGGACAGATGAGACAAACTAAAATCCTCTACAAGTTATAGATATTAAATTTGTTCCTGTTACAAATTGGCAGGATCAAAAGGCTACATGTTTTGTTGTCCTGTATACACTAAGGGATACATTTTAAATGTATAAACCACAAAGACTTCCAAGCACAAGTTAACTAAAAAAATACAAACAGTAAGTAATGCTTCTCTACAGTGAACATTCATGACAAAGAAAGATATGGCACATACCTTCCTTTGATTTGTTTCCAAGGATGAGGACCATTGTTCTTCATTGCTTTCTTAACAACTTTTGCCAAAATGCAAAGGAAAATGGTGTAACTACTGCTGGATTTATAAAGGTCATTATCTTGTTTATCACAACAGCAGGTCTTCACCATTTCTAGCATTGACAAGGGTGACTTAATGATATATGTAAGGCCTTTCAAAGGAAGCCAAGAGATGCTGAAAGAACTATTCTAAAAGCAAATAAATAAATAAATAAATAAATAAATAAATAAATAAATAAATAAATAAATAAAAGAAGTATTAAGTCTGAGTAAATAAGAATTCTTTAATCTCTTCTATTCTTGAAGTTTCCCAGCGTTTATGTCATACCATTTATTTTTATATCAGGTCATTTATTGTGTAGAATTTTCTCCAGTCTGGATTTAGCTGCTTGTATCTCCCTAGTGTCATGTAATGTATTTTTTTATCCCCTCTCTTTTCTGTAAATTGGTAGCTGTATCTAGAGGACTGATCAGATTCATGCAAGTGGAGTTTTCTGATAAGAATCTTCCATTGATGGTACTGGGCACTTCCTATTGTAATTTAGGAAAGAGAGACATAAGTTGTGTCATTCCTTTTGTAATGTTAAGATTGGGTGTGTTGTCAACCTGATCTATTCATTTGAGTGATCCCCACCAGACTTTCACTAAACAGTTTTAGCAGCCACTGATGATCACTGCCCAGATACCTTACTTCATCAGGTGTACAAATAGTAATTTTCTAATTCTATCATTACTTCTCAATTAGCTCCTTAGAAATTTGGTTACTCTAAAATATAGTTTATATTTTCCCTTATTTACAGTTTTCAGAATGATGTTTTTTTTCCCAGAATAATGAGGGTTTTTTTTTTTTTTTCAGAATAGTAACTTTTCTAAAGGCATCATACACTCAAGGATTTAAATGTATTTGATAAGTTTTAATCCACAGCAGTCATTATTCTTTCTTATGCTCAAAATCTACCCAGCATCAGGGCAACAGGAGCTCCTTCAATTTGGCTCCTGTGTCATTTTGACAGGACTCCATCTTACTTTGATATTCCCTGCTTTCAAATACAACAAGACACTAGAGACTCATATTATACATGTTACCTCAGAACTAGAATGGGTCATTTCTCCAATCAGCCTGAAATTATGCTTCAAAGAAAAGTATTTTTCTCATTTTTCATAAGCTCCATTATGTATAAACTAGTAATTTACTTGTAAATCTCCTATTTCCATTTTCTATCTTGACTGAGGGGTTCACTATTTCCCAGAAACCCAAACATTCCAAATCTTCTCTTCACCCCACACATAAAAGGTAACTAAATCCTATAAATCTACCTTTAAAATTTTTATTTTCCTAATTTATCCTCTCCTTTCTAAACCCTATTTTACTCACCACATTATTAGCATGTATTTTTACATTGGACTACTAATTGGCACCCAATTCATCTATACCATTTTCAGAAAAAAACCTTCTCACATACATATCTAAAATGTCACGTCCTTGGTATCCTATGTCTCCAGAATAAATCATAACTCAACATGCACATAATCTAGCCACTGACTACCTTGTCTACCTACTTTCCTTATCTGCTGTCTCTCTCCACAGTTATCTCAAACCTATCATTCAGAACTATTTATTTAACACGGTAGGAAAAGATCATGTTTTTATGTGTTCATACATTTGTTCATAATATTCCTTTTGCCTGAATGCTCTTTTCTTCTGTACTTGTAAACTCCATGCATTCCTCAGTTAAAAAATTACAACGTCTTAAAGTCTTCCACAAGTCTATACACTGGGTCAGATACTCGGTCCTTTGGCATTCCACAGTACTGTAACTTTTTCCCCCACAATGTATGTGTATCTGCCCACTAGCCTATAAGCAACTCAAATGCCAAGACTATGTCTCATTCGGGATAGTATTAACTGTTCAGTGTGTTGCAATCAGTAATTGTTAGAAAATATGAATAAATGAGGATTAAAAAAATATCTTTCTGGTACAATTTTGGCTACTTTGCTTAGTCTCCCTCTTAAGAGAAAAGGGACGCAAATGCTCATTCCCTTTTGTCAATGCTCTATAGATAACTATTCTTAATTAAACCATAAAAACATTCCTCACATATGTACAAATTCTTCAAATTCCTGGAACAAATTCATATTCTATTTACTTACCAGGTTCTTACTATAATATTCCCATAGAATGGTGACGATTGCAATGTTTGGCTCCCAGAAATCACAAAGTGTCAAACAACAGTGAAGATGCATTCGTAATTGTTCTTCTAGTATACCATCCTAAAAAATAAACTGAAATTGTGGGAAAGTAAATGGGCTCTGGAAACATGAGTATTATTACTTGATATTGCACTGGATAACCTGCTTCTAAAAGAATATGAATATGTATCACCAAATCATACCCACTCTCATCTTCAGACCAGAAGTTCTAAATCAGCATGAGGTATACTTCTAAAAATTTGCTTTAGAGACTACTCACATACTCAGATAATAGGAATTACATAACTCAACATGACTTTTAACACAATTACTTAAAGGTTCCAATAGGTGTGGGGTGCCTGGCTGGCCTAGTCAGAAAAGCATGCAACTCTTTATCTCGGGGTCATAAGTTTGAGCCCTGTGTCAGGTGTAGAGATTACTTAAAAAAAAAACAAAAACAAAAAAAACAAAAACAAAAAAAACACTTAAAAAAATTACATAATTGTTTCATAACTGAATGGTGTAGGAAACCCAGAGAATGTAAAAGAAACCCAAACTAGAATGAAGTAGCAAAAATGAACTAATAATTAAATGTACACAAATTCAGAGGACTTGGTCATCCTTAAGCACTAGGTCAAATTCTTTGTAGGAATAGGAGAGACTCAGATTAGCAGAGTACATGCATTTTAACCTCTTAGGAAATGGCAACAGGAGTAAGAAGTGAAAATAATGCAGTCAGTAATCAAACTTCTATGATGAAATAATCATGCATGTTTGTTTAAAAGTCGCACCACTGAAGGGCACCTGGGTGTCTCAGTCGTTAGACGTCTGTCTTCGGCTCAGGTCATGGTCCTGGGGTCCTGGGATGGAGCCCAGCATTGGGCTCCCTGCTCAGCGGGAAGCCTGTTTCTCCCTCTCCCGCTCCCCCTGCTTGTGTTCCCTCTCTCGCTATCTCTCTCTCTCTGACAAATAAATAAATAAAATTAAAAAAAAAATAAAAGTCCCACCACTGAATCACTCAACAATTACTTATTTAAAGCTTACTATATGTGCTATGGTGAGCGCTGTGAATTGTGCAAGACTGTTGAATCACAGATCTGTACCTCTGAAACAAATAATGCAATATATGTTAAGAAAAAA